CTTTCCATGTAGGAATTTACACAGTTTAAGCTTTCTAAGGCCCATATGATTTCCATTTCCTATTTACCTTTTTATGCTTCTTTTGAATCTTATATTTGAAAGTCAAATTTTCTATTCAGCTCTGATCTTTTCAAAAAGAATGCTTGAAAGTCCTCTATCTCATTGAATGTTCATTTTTTCCCCCTGCAGGATTATACTCAGTTTTGTTGGGAAGGTGATTCTTGATAATCCTAGCTCTTTTAACCTCCGGAATATCTTATCCCAAGCCCTCCCACCCACTAATGTAGAAGCTGTTAAATCTTGTATTATCCTGACTATGGCTCCCACAATACTTGCATTGTTTCTTCCTGACTGCTCGCAATATTTTCTCCTTGACCTGGGAACTCTGGAATTTGGCCATAATATTCCTAGGGGTTTTCCTTTGGGGATCTCTTTCAAGAAGTAATCAGTGGTTTCTTTCCATTTCTATTTTATCCTCTTGGTCTAGAATATCAGGGCAGTTTTTCTTGATGATTTCTTGAAAGATGACATCTAGGCTCTTTCTTTAATCATGGCTTTCAGATAGTCCAATAATTTTTAAATTCTCTCTCCTGGATCTATTTTCCAGGTCAGTTGTTTTTCCAGTGAGATATTTTACATTGTCTTCTATTTTTTCTTTCTTTCAGTTTTGTTTTATAATTTCTTGATTTCTCATAAAGTCATTAGCTTCCATTTGCTCCATTCTGATTTTTAAGAAATTATTTTCTTCAGTGAGTTTTTGGACCTCCTTTTCCATTTGGCTAATTCTGCTTTTTAAGGCATTTTTCTCCTCATTGGCCTTTTGGACCTCTTTTACCATTTGGTCTAGTCTATTTTTTACAGTGTTATTTTCTTCAGTATTTTTTTTGTGTCTCCTTCACCAAGCTGTTGATTTTTTTTTTCATTATTTTCTTGCATCACTCTCATTTCTCCTCCCAATTTTTCCTCTACCTCTCTTACTTGATTTTCCAAATCCTTTTTGAGCTCCTCCATGGCTTGAGAGCAATTTTTATTTTTCTTGGAGGCTTTGAATGTAGGAACTTTGACTTTGTTGTCTTCTCCTGAGTGTGTGTTTTGATCTTTCTTGTCACCATAGTAAGTTTCAATAGTCAAGAGTTTTTTCCTGTCGTTTGCTAATTTTCCCAGCCTATTAGTTGCCTTTTAACTCTTTGTTAAAGTAGGGCTCTGCTTCCCAGGGTGGAGAGCACACTGTTCCAAGCTTCAAGGGTTTTGTGCAACTGTTTTCACAGATAACTTCTAGGGACCTGTAAGTTCTTCAAGTTCTTCCAAGGTGGTATGATCAAAGGAGAGGTGTTGACTGCTCTCCTGGCCTGTGCTGTGGTCTGTGAGTGACCACAAGAACTCTTTTCTGCCCTGGAACTGTGAGGAGGGTCAACTCTGGCCAAAAGCTCTGCTATGCTGGTACTCCTCCTTGCCTTAGGACTGCCACCCAGGACTGTGACCCAGATCCAAGTATGGGCAAAGCAAGAGTCCTGCCTCAGTACTAGCAAAAAGACTCCTGTAATCTCCTTCTGACTGGTTGTTTGGTACTCCCCCCTTTCTTTCTGCTTGTTTTATTTCACAAAATGACTAATATGAAATATGATGTATGTGACTGCACATCAGCTTACTGTCTCAGGGAGGGAGAGAATTTGGAACTAAAAATTTTTTTTTAAAAAGTTGTTTTTCCATGTAATTGGGTGAAAAAGAATTTTTTTTTAAATAATAAATTTTTTAAAAAATAAGTCTGTAGGTTTTAACCAGAATGCCAAAGAGATCCATGAAACCTGCTCTAATACTAGTTGCAGAAAACTTGCTAAACATGCACTAATAGAGTAAGTTCTTCATCAGGAGCTTCCTGTACTTAATGAAATCATAAGTCTAGGACCTATCCCTCCACCTATATTTACATTTCTGTGGACATGTTGTTTCTTAAAAGGCTGGTATTTCATTTTTGTCTTTGTATCTCCAGTACCTAGCATAGGCCCTTAAAGTACATGGGTACTTAAATGTTTGTTGAACAAATGATGATTACAGAGTTTGAGCTGAAGGAACCTCAGACACCATCTGCTCACGTATATACATGAAGAAGAGTCCATTCCCTCCATAACACTGAGAGAACCTACTACCAAGGCAGCCCATTGCAGTTTTGGACAACTCCAATGACTGGGAAGTTTTTCTATATGTCAAGCCTCGATTTACCTTGTAGCAACTTCTATCCATTACTTCCCAAACAAAGCAGAATAGTCTAATACTACTTTGTGATGGTACTTCAGATACTCAACTGTCATGTTTCCCCAATATCTACTTACGATGTAGTCTGACCAAAGCAAAGTACAACAGTGCTACATCACTTCTCTTGTCTTGGCAGCTGTACTTTTCGCAGTGTTGCCGAAGATAGCATTAGTTTTCTTTGGCTGCCATATGTATTACAGTGGTGTTGACTCTTACTGAACTTGCAGTCCCCTAAAAATCCAAAATATTTTTCAAATGAACCATATGCTTCCCCATCTTATACCTGTTTCTTGAACCAAGTCCAAAGCTTTACATTTATTCCTATTAAGCTATTCCAGGTAGGTTTTTTGTTTTTTTTGTTTTGTTTTGTTTATTTTGGCTCCTGATCCTGTCATCCAAAGCATTACGCAGATTTGATCAGTGTACTGTTGTGACTTTATCCCTTATTGATAATCATGTTAAACAGCACAGGGCTAAGTACAGACCCCTGGAACATTCTATAGGAGACCTTCTACTGCAGTGTCAAACTATTAATAACTACTCTTCTGAACTGACCAGTTAACACTTTGACTCTATTAAACTGTACTATTATCTAGCCTCCATCTCTGTCTTTTCTGCAAGAATAGCATACTTTTTTACTTTCTTTTTTTTTTAATCTTTTCTTTCACAACATGAACTAATATGGAAATATGTTCTGCATGACTGCACATATATCACATTGCCTTCTCAATGCGGGGGAAGGCAAGGAGGGAGGGAGAGAATTTGGTACTCAAAAATTTTTTTTTCATCTTTTTTTTTTTTTTAAGTGAGGCAATCGGGTTTAAGTGACTTGCCCAAGGTCACACAGCTAGTAAGTGTCAAGTGTTTGGTCTGAGGCCGTATTTGAACTCAGGTCCTCCTGACTTCAGGGCTGGTGCTCTATCCACTGTGCCACCTAGCTGCCCCAGGTACTCAAAATTTTTTAAAAATGTTAAAAAAAACTTTTTATATGTAATTGGAAAAAATGAAATAATTGAAAAAAGAAAAAAGAATAAATAACATGAGAAATTTTGTCAAATGCTTTGGTAAGATCTAGTTAAACTGTGTCATGTAGCAGTATGAGAAACATCTGTGATCTCTTCAGCAGAAAAACTTCAGTATAAAAATTTCTTCCACTGAAGCAGATTTCAGTCCACTATAATTTAGTAGATAATTTCCTAGGGAGTTTTTTGAAGCACATAAAGGTTAAATGATTTGCCAAAGGTCGCAAGACCAGTAAGTGTTAGGATTAAGATCCAGGTGTTCCTGGCTCCAGGCTTTGTTCAAAAGAAATGACCTGGCTTTTTTTTTATTATTACTTTTTTTTTTAAGTGTTGTCAGTTCCCAATATTCCTTCTCTACATAGATCTTTCTCTTTTAATAAATAAGTGCAGTCAAATAAGATAAATCGGCCACACCTGACAACAGAAGTCTCATTTCATATGTATAGGCCACTGTCGCTCTTCTGAGAATAGGCTGTGTGTTTCATCATTCCTATTAACTGCATTGATCAGAGGTTCCAGTATGTTTTAGTCTTGTTCATCTTGTCGTCATTACTATGTGTGTTCTCTTCATACTGCCTACTTTGTATTCTCTTCATTAGTTTATGAAAGTTTTTCTTTTTTCTTTTTTTTTTCTTTTGATGCAGTAATATTCCATTACATTCATATACAACATGTTGTTCAGCCATTTCCCAATTGATGGTCACTCACTTTATTCAGGTTTTTTGCTTGCATAACAAGTATAGCTATTAATTTGTGTGTGTGTATGTAATGTGTATATATTGCCTGTTATTAATGGTCATGTTAGCTTTTTTGTCCGCTTCCTTTTCTAAATGATTACTAACCATGCCTTTAATGATACATTGACCTCTAGTAACAGACTCCATTCTCTTCCTTTTATTGGAAATTGGAACATTGCCCTTTCTCAATCCTATGGTGTGCTGTTCTCAGTCTCTATGATCATTCAGACATCACCAGCAATGGTTTACCAATCATATCTTCAGTTCCTTCAGCACCCTGGAACAAACAGCAAGATACTCTCACCATCTCCCCACTTGAATATTACTTCCTTATCAAGCATTTTTGTTCTGTCCTTTCCAGTTCAAAAACCATTCTCCTTGGCACCAAAAACAGAAACAAAGTAAAAATTGATCAAGTTTGCCTTCTTCGAGATTTATTATCACTGTTTCTTCTATCAAAGTAGTATTCCTGTCCCCTTATTTTATCCTCCTCTTTTCTCCAAAAAAGGACCAAAAAACTCCCAACATTGTTGTCCTTAGCTTTCTGCATCAGCCTTGGCTTTTTCTGAGCTTTAGCACCACTAACAGCATTTTTAGACTGGATCATGTTTTTATATGCATTTTCCATTGTCTATCCTTGTTTTCTGTAGATATCTTTTAAGAAATAAGTAAGTTGATTAGTTCACTAGTCATCAACATCATTCTCTGTAGTCAACCTTCCCTTATTCTTTCTCACCAGAGTTGGGGTTTTGAATTTAGAGTTTGATTTTTAAGAGTTTCCTGTCCCTCATAGGTCATGATGCCCTATATATAATTTGATTCCATGAGATCCTTCCTCTTTTCTCTGAATCTTTTGAAATTTGTTCTCCCAAAGTCCAAGATTCGTGTCAACCTTGCCCAAATTTCTTCTTGCCTTATTAACTAACTAGAGTGTTCCAGTTACCAGCTTTTACTCTGAACTTAACCTTTATTTTCTTTCTCTGCATAGGATGGACAGAATGACAGAAGATGCCCTTCGCTTGAATCTGCTGAAGCGAAGCCTGGACCAGGCAGATGAACGTGATGATGTCCTGGCAAAGAGACTCAAGATGGAAGGACATGAGGCTATGGAGCGATTAAAAATGTTAGCACTGCTCAAAAGGAAGGACCTGGCAGGCATTGAGATGCCCCATGAGTTACCTACTAAACAAGATGGTGGCAGCGGTGGCAAGGGCTATGAGGAAAAACTTAATGGGAACCTGAGGCCGCATGGAGATAACAGGACTGCTGGACGGCCAGGCAAGGAGAACATCAATGATGAACCTGTGGACATGAGTGCTAGGAGAAGGTAGGGCTCAACCTAACTTTTTCTAGCAAAGAGTTTATCATATGAGAGAAGACTACAAAAAGTGTCAAAGAGAAAGGAAGGTGTTTTGTCACTCCAATCAAGGCAGGAATTTTTCTGTTACTTGCTTAGCCAGCTGTGGGATAGAGGGAGAAAATGTATATTACTTAACACCTGTACATGAAGCTCCCTCATCCTCCAAATAAGTTTTAAAGTAGTGCCCTCATGCTATAGCTAATAGGACTGAGATGTTTATACATCTAGGCCTCTCTCAGTTCTACCCTTGTTTAGTTACCAGAGCAAAGGGACTTAAGTCTTTAAGTTACTCCTAAACACCTGTAGCCCAGTGCTAATTTGAAAGGCTTTCTTTTCAGATTTCAAACTAGGCCTATGACTTTTTGAGCCAGAGAATTTAGCTAAAGTGAAATCTTCACTTTAGATTGAGTCAGTTTTAAATTGTGCATATAGTATTCAACCTACACACCAAGAGGGACAGGACCTAGTTTTTCTTAGGCCTTCTGGGAAGTTATCTTTATGAGCTAATTTCCTCCCTTCCTCTAGCTTTTTCTTGTCTGGTCACTCAAGTAGGAGTATAAGAAAGAATAGAGTGTACACTAGAAGCTTTGGGCTGTGATTAGAGGGTAAAGGGATTGGTATAGGGAAGAGGCTGGTTAAGAAGTAGTAGTAGTAGTAGTAGTAGTAGTAGTAGTAAGTTACTCAGTCATAGTGCTATCTTACAGGAACACTAGCTTCATGAAGCCCACTGTCCAAACCCTTGTTTTAGCTGGAAGGATGGTTACTGTTAGCTCCCAACTTCCCTTCACTTTGAGGGGCTGGTAGCTCTTAACTGAGTAGTGCTAGGCTGTGGTTCATGTCCTCTGGAGATTCAGAACAGAAGTAGAGGAAAGGTACGTGTTGTGCTAGATGGCCTCTTAAGTCCTTCCGAACTCTGAAACACAGAAATCTGAAAGCAGGAGAAGAGGTATTTGCAGTATAACCATTTCCTATCTATCTTTGTCTCTTCATCATCAAGTAGGAAAATTATACAGCTGTGACTTCTGTTCAGAAAAGCCTTCTTCGATGTAGAGATTACCTAATGTATTTAGGGGGAAATAGCAGTTGCATATGCTTAGTTTCTCTCACTTTAGAATTAAAATTAGTAACTTCCTAACTTCAACATCTGCCAGTCTGAGTCACAGGAGATGACAGCAGAGAGTAAAGACCTTGATGACATTCTCCATTGAGTGGGACTTTGGGCTTAAGACAGAAACCTTCAAAGGCTCTGTGTGCTTGGGGAGGGAACAAAATAGCTGCTCACCTTGCTAGAAGATTGATGGAAGATGCTAGAACCCTAACTCAAAAGGCTGGAAGAAAAAAAAAACTCAGCAGGGAGATGACACATTGGTTAGCCAGTCCCATGTTTATTTGCTCTATCTATTGCCCTATGCTCTGGTATATTATGGTACTAATTGTGGCTAAAAATGGAATTGCATTTGAAGTTGCTCTTCAAACATGACTTTCTAGTGTGTACTGGCTAAACCCAAAGTTTCTAGCTAATCAAACAAGCCTCAAACAAGCAGCTAGACGGCATAGTGAATAGTACTGGATTTGGAGTCAGGGACTTACCTGCGTTAAAATCTTGCCTGAATATACAGATAGGTTGAAGTCCCGTTCTAAATGTCAGAAGAGCAATATTCAAAGGCTGTTTTTGTCGACCCCACCAATGAGAAGAAAAACCCTAATGACAGTGCCACCCTCAGGACTAGAATGTTTTGGAGTGAGGCTAAAGAACATACATATATTCCATACCTACCAGCTAGGTGACACAGTGATCTGGGCCAGGAATCAGGAAGACCTGAGTTCAAAAACAGCTTTAGAGACTTAATAGCTGTGTGAACTTGGGCAAGTCACTGAACCACTGTCTGCCTCACTTTCCTTAACTGTAAAATGGGGATTATAATAGCATCACCTTCCAGGTTTGTTGTGAAAATCAAATGAGTTAGCACAGTGAATGGCACATGATAGGTGTTTTATAAATACTTGTTCCTTCCCCCTTTACTATTTCTTGAATTGGAAACCTCAGGGAAGATGAAGCCTAGAAGAATCTGTTGTTTCTTGTTTTGTTTTGTTTTTGTGGGGAGAATGGAGCTAGAATATAACTTTGTGTGAAATCTGGGTACTTAAGGCTTTTATAGCCCTCTGTTACTCCCAAGGCTTATTTCAGGCTATAGGCATTTTCCAGTATCATGGAGAAATAAGATTCTCTTCAAATACAGTGCTACTAAGTACATGGTGAATGAAGAAATCTTAAAATGGAGTCATCTGAGTCCCAAATAGGTCTGTCCCAACACTGAATAGGAATGACTTTAGCCTGGAATTAAAAGCTTTGCCTAGATAATTTCTTTCCAAGGGAGAAGGAAGATCCTGTGTATAACCTTTGGCAAAGAAATGAGATTTCTACATGTTCATGACTGGGACTTCTACCCTCCTCAGGAGAGTACAAGCTTTATTAGTCTGATCACTTATACATTGTCTTCAGTGATTCCTTAGGTTCTGGCAGTTATATTACCTTCTTTGAACTCCATGAGCTCTTTTTCTCGTGTGGCAGAACAGCTCTCTGGCTGTCTCTGAATTTGTCATGAGAGCTTGTTTCAGAGCTGCTTCTTATATCACAGTCCAGTCAGCATCCATTTCTTTTGACTGCCCTCTTTACTTCCTTTGCCTCTTAGAGGTGTGGTCTAGACAGTCTTTAACATTCTATAGTTATAAAGGAAACTTCTTAAATATTCTTAGATATTAATTATAGTTGTCTAGTATCTGTGTTAGGCTTCCTTCACATGCTACTGGTTGGGGAACTAGGACCTGTTGCCACTGTCACTTCCTAATCAGCTGTTATTTCCTGTAGTAGTTTCTTTAAGGCCAATTTACCCTAGAATTAAGGTTTGGGAAAACTATTTGAAAGAATTTTACTTAAAACTCATGTGATAAAAGCACTCATCTCCTTTCCCCACTTCTCAAGCTGAGTAAATAGGAGTGTTAAAATGGAAGAGGCCTTTGGTATGGCGGGAAAGGTATTTCAACTAAGCCTCTGCCATCACCTCTATTGCAGGTAACTGGCCTCATTTTACCCCTTAGTGGTTTCAATTTCCTGGTACTTGGTTGTCACTGCTTTCTTCTAGGTGGTGCAAGATAGACAACCCCTCACACCAAAACTCCCTTGGGTTTCTTCATTCAGTGCTGATGAGGGATTTTTCGGCTTCCCTGTGAGCCTTCATTGTTGGGGGTACCTTGATCTTCAACCCCATGTCCTTTTCTTGTCTTGTTTTATACAGTGAGCCAGACCGGGGACGGCTGACTCCCTCCCCTGACATCATTGTCCTTTCTGACAATGAAGCCTCCAGTCCTCGTTCCAGTTCCCGAATGGAAGAGAGACTGAAAGCAGCCAATTTGGAGATGTTTAAGGTAAAAAACATCTCTTTCTACATTCCTTTCTTTCTTTTTTCTCACTTTTTATCAGGTATCCCTGGACACCTAATAAAATCCTAGCAATAATTTTGACTCTTATTGGACTAGGAGGTGTGTCCAAAACGCTACTGACTAGTGTAGACTCTAGATGATAAAGCATAGTGTCACTTTTAACCTTTTAATTTACTTTTTCCTTTTTAAATATGCTTTCTCCCCTGAATTACTATTCTAGTTAATGAATTGGAGATACATTGGGTAAAAGTTTCAAAGTAAATTGAGTCTGAGTTGTTAGCCAGGGAAAGGGAGTCTATGATCACAGTACCAGGACTGACGGTTTCTACCTTTCCTCAGGGGAAAGGTATTGAAGAGCGGCAGCAACTTATTAAGCAGCTGAGAGATGAGCTACGTCTAGAGGAAGCCAGACTGGTACTGTTGAAGAAACTAAGGCAGAGTCAGCTACAGAAGGAGAATGTGGTTCAGAAGGTAATGTTCTCTTTGGGGAAAGGGGCTGGGACATGGCTAAAAGAGAAAAACTTGTTTATTGGGGAGGGGTGGTAGGGCAGCACGGTACTCTTGAAAGAACAATAATTTTTGCCTGAGTCAGGATATGGGTTCAAGTCCTCACTCTGCCACTTAGCACTTGTGTGAGTGACCCTGGCCAACTCTTACAACCTCTCTGGGCTTCAGCAATAGATTGAGAGAATTAAACTAGATGACCTCTAAGGTCTTTCTAAGTTCGTAATTTTAAGGTGCATTGTTTACTCTGATAGAGCTTATAGTATATTCACTCATCCTTTGTCCTATGATCTCTAATATCTGCAGTTCATTGAGGCAACTGGATGGCATACTGGTTAAAGTGCTGGGCCTGGAATTAGGAATATCTGAGTTCAAGTCCAGCCTCAGACAGTTACTAGCTGTATGACCTTTGGCGTGTCACTTAACCTCTATCTACCTCAGTTTCTACAGCTGTTAAATGGAGATCATAGTAGCACCTACCTCCCAGGTTGTTGTGTGGATTAAATGAGATATTCATAAAGCACATAGTAAGTGCTTAATAAATTCTTGTTTCCTTCCTTCCTTCCAAAGAGTTAGATTCAATCTGAACCCTTAACTTGGTGAACCTTGGTCTGTCCCTCAGTCAGTAGTGATTGTCATTTTAGTGCCAGAAAAAGTACCAGGTAGCTAACTATCTATCTCTCTAGGTCCTGGCCATCTCTAAATATGTATTTTCTTTTCTTTTCCTTTAGACCCCAGTTGTACAAAATGCAGCATCAATTGTCCAGCCATCTCCTGCCCATGTAGGACAGCAGGGCCTGTCCAAGCTTCCTTCCAGGCCTGGTGCTCAGGGAGTGGAGCCCCAAAACCTGAGAACATTGCAGGTATATGGGTATAGCAGCATATTTGGATCCAAGGAACCAAATCCCATCAGAGGTTATGGGCATGTGAAAGGATTAGGGGAGGAACTGACCAGATTGGAACATTACCATAGAGCAGAGTTCTATTAGTGCCATTAGATTTATATAGGAATACGACCAGTAAGCTGTGTGACCCTGGGCAGGTCACTTAACCCCAACTGCCTCACCAAAAAAGCAAAAAATTAAAAAAATAAAGAATAGGGTCAATGAGTGAACCCTTGCAGGGCTTGTTCTTTACTAAACAATAGGACTTTCAGGCTAGCTGTTCCCTAAATGGGGTGGGACAATCTTATGTTGAGCAGGTCAAGCAAATTCCCATGATGCCAAGGCAAGATTTTCAAATGTGACGTGTCACACTCTTTCTCGGGGGAAAAATGTAGAAAAAAATATCTAGTTAGAATAATCTAATGGTACCTCTCCCAAGCTTTCCTTCAGCTACTCCTAAGGAGTATTTTATGGGAGGCTTCCTGTCTCAAACCCCCAAAGTTCTGATTCAGTTCTTTCATTTTTGCCTCCTCTAGGGTCACAGTGTCATCCGCTCAGCCACCAACACAACCCTTCCACACATGCTGATGTCACAGCGAGTTATTGCACCAAACCCTGCCCAACTGCAGGGCCAGCGAGGGCCACCCAAACCTGGCCTCGTACGTACCACCACACCCAACATGAACCCCGCCATCAACTACCAGCCGGTAAGAGTACTACACAGGACAGGTAGAGATCCTGTTACCCATGGTGGCTAAGGAGTAGACTTTACATTTTTATAAACAAGAGATAATTTGGACTGAACTTGGAGAGCATTACAGAAAAGACTTGAGGGTTCAGCTGTAGTTTTTGATAGTAAGGTAGATGCCAGTTAGGGGGAAGAGACGGTTTGAGGAATTAGTAGCCCACCCAGCAAAGCCTTGAGGTAAACCTTCTTGAGAAATCTAGGGAAGTAGTGTCTAGACATTTGACCTGAGGAAGCTAGACATTCTTCGTCCTAGAAATTTTTTTCTGCATAGTCCTTTAAGCAGCTCTGGTGCCAACTTTAGCCCGTAGACATTATCATTCTCCCATTTTCTTTGGGCCCAGTGTAGTTACTGATCAGCCTATGTCATAGTAAGAAAATATCCTCTGCCAGGGAATAGTGACAGTAAGAACTGGAATTCCTTTCTTCTGTCACTGACCTTTCTTCTTATTCCTTTCCAGCAGTCAAGTTCTTCTGTCCCTTGCCAGCGCACAACATCCTCTGCCATCTATATGAACCTTGCCTCTCACATCCAGCCAGGGACTGTTAACAGAGTGTCTTCACCACTCCCCAGTCCCAGTGCCATGACTGATGCAGCCAATTCACAGGCAGCAGCTAAGTTGGCCCTTCGTAAGCAGCTGGAAAAAACACTGCTGGAGATCCCACCCCCTAAGCCTCCTGCCCCTCTGCTCCACTTCCTGCCCAGTGCAGCCAACAGCGAGTTCATCTATATGGTGGGCTTGGAGGAGGTGGTGCAGAGTGTCATTGACAGCCAAGGTAAGGTCATCAGACTTCCCCATTCACTCTGTAGGAAACTTCCAAGTCTGACAGTTTTATTTTGGGATGTGTGTCTGGGGTGAGCAAACTGTGGTTTAGTGTATATTAAGTACCTTTTCTCCCTCCTGTAGGTAAAGGGCCTACTGTGTGCCAGGCTTTATAGATATTATTTCATTTGATTCTCAAAACAACCCTGTGTGGTAGATACTGTTATTGGCCCCATTTTACAGTTGAGGAAACTGAGGCAAACTGAAGTTAAGTGACTTTCCCAGGACAGTAGAGCTATTATCTGGAGCTAGGTTTGAATTCAAGTCTTCTGACTCCAGGCCCAGTACTTTACCCCCTGTACTCAAAATGCAACACTCTACTACACAGGGATGTGGAGGGGAAGAGAACACACATATATTAAGCATCTACTATGTGCCAGGCACTGTGCTAATCACTTTACAAATATTACTTTATTTGATCCATTTGAATGAGGTAATTTATCATCTTCAAAAATCATTGATATAAATCTATGCCTATTTTAAGTATTTTTATTCTGTTTATGTATGTATTCTACGTGTATCTTTCAAGTTAGTAAACATTATGAAGGCAGGGACTTAGATCTACATGGTTCTTTTTATTAAATGCCATAAGTACGTACACATTTCAGCGCTTAGAATCTGTTTTTTGATGTTAATTTTGTGTGACAATGTGTTTGGTGCTATGTCAAAAGGGAATTATAGACATCAAATGACTCTGAGTGAGGTGATCTGGAGGTGTTCTGCATAGCTGGGGAATCCACACTGGAATTCAATAGTATTTATATGTAATTTTCATTTATGTATGTATGTATTTGTGAGGCATTTGGGGTTAAGTGACTTGCCCAGAGCTAGTGAGTGTTATGTGTCTGAGGCTGGATTTGAACTCAGGTCCTCCTGACTCCAGGGCCAGTGCTCTATCCACTGTGCCACCCAGTTGCCCTCATTTATAGGTAATTTTTAAAAAAATGGCTTGTTGGAGAGGTAGCTAGGTGGCACAGTAGATAAAGCAGGCTCTGGAGTTAGGAGGACCTGAGTTCAAATCCAGCCTCAGACACATAACACTCACTAGCTCTGGGCAAGTCACTTAACCCCAAATGCCTCACACACCAAAAAAAAAAGATTATTGGGATATAGATGATCAGGAATGAAATTCATTCACTGACCAAAATTTGGGCTACGAGCCAAAGTACTCACCTTGTTAAATGGGCTTCATTTAACTCCCACTGATACAGAAGCTTCTCTTCTTTGCCTATACCAGAATTTTAATACTGCTGGGAATTGATCAGTAAGCATTTCATTAAGCATCTTTTATATGCCAAGCACTGTGCTAGGTGCTGATAATACCAAGAACAAATCAGTGTCTGCCCTCAGCACATTTAAATTCTATCGGGAGACAACAAGTTTGTAAATACTGCAAGTTTTGGTGGGAGGAAAGGGAGAGGAGGATCAGGAAAGGCTTCATGAAAAATATATGTCTAAGCAAGATTTTGAAGAAAATAAGGGATTCTAAAAGTTAGGGATGAGATAAGAAAGAGTACATTCCAAGCATCGAAGGACAACCAGTACAAAGGCAAGGAGATGGAAAATTGAATGCTATATATGGGAAATAGCAAGAAAGTCAGTTTGGCTGGACCATAGAGTTTAGGAACAGGAGTAGTATATAAGGTTGGAAAGGTAAGTTGGAGCTAGGTTGGGAAGGGTTTTAGAAATTAGAGAAGTCTGTATTTGATCCTGGAGGCAAGAGGCAACAAGTAGAGCTTCTTCAGCAAAGGAGTGATATGGTCATACTTAAGCTTTAATAATATTAACTTGGCAATGATGTGGAGGAAAGGAAAGAAGGTGGTTGCAAGGAGACCAAATAGAAAGGTTTATAATAGTCCAGGTGAAAAATGAACTCCAGGTGAGTTCCTGAACTAAAATGGTGTCCTTGTGAGTAGAGAGAAAGGTTGGGATGTGAGAAATATTATGGGAAATAACAGTTGGATGGGAACAGAAAGAGCAAGATGGTAAGGAGAATGGGTCACCCTACTTAACACTTTCCTTGGTGCCATCTAGGCAAAGGTTGTGCCTCACTTCTGCGGGTGGAGCCATTTGTATGTGCTCAGTGCCGCACAGACTTTACCCCACACTGGAAGCAAGAGAAAAATGGCAAGATTCTGTGTGAGCAATGCATGACCTCCAACCAGAAGAAGGCCCTAAAGGCTGAGCATACTAACCGGTTGAAGAATGCCTTTGTCAAAGCCCTACAGCAGGAACAGGTAAGTGACCTTCTCTAGCTCAGACACCTAGAATGCCCAGGGTGTTAAACACAAATTTTGGGGTGTTAAACACAAATTTTGGGGAGAGTGGGGGGGGAGCGTAACTCCAGTAGTTTGTAATCATTCATGTTTTCCTCACAGCCTTCAGAGAACCATACCTCATAATCTAAAGTTTGGGGAGGGGGTTGGAATTTTTTTTGGGTGGGAATGCCTCTTCATCTTCCCCTGCCCCATTTGATCTAAATGTTTCTGACTGTGAGGTAGTAATGGGAAATAGAGTTTGGAGCTTGGAAGGCATGAGGCTTTCTGTTCTTTGACCTTGGCTCTCCTTGTAGCCTAAATAAGCCCCTTCTGTTGTCTGCCTCATTTTCTTCTTTGGGAGAGATTTCCATATTTTTCTTCAGGATGAAGAAGAATGGGACATACGCGTTGTACCATAAATGTTTTTCTTCAAAGGAAGTGGTCATTTATAGTCAGCAGTGGAGGGAGGGATGATAGGGGAAAAGCTGGTCATAAGCCAAGTGGTCTTTAGAGAGGTAAATGTATCTTAAATTTGTGGAAAACATTTTAGGCTCAGTTCAAGGCCAGTGAGTTCAGCATGTCATAGAGTTTGGAATCATGCTTCCTTTTCCACCTTTATTATTCAGAATTCAGTGAATGAATGTCAGGAAGACCAGGGAAAATAAACAAGTATCAGAGACGAAGCCTCCCCCTTTTGTGCCCTTTGTTTCTCCAGACTTTCTTTTACTTTGTATAGTTGGGACCCAATTCACAGGTTTACCCAAAAATGAGACTGTAGCAAAGGGACAAGTCAAAAATAATTTCCTACTGACTCACCAGCTCTAATTACACCTGCCAGCCCCATCCCTTCTACCCAGTTTCCAGCATCTGTCTGCTCAAAAGCAGCACCAAACAAGAAAAGGACCTGTGGTAAGGCAGGGCAGCAAGCTAGCCATTCTCTTCCCCAGTTGAGTTCTTCTGAGAAGAGGGAGTTGAATGTACCCAGTATGCAAAATCCTTTAGTTTGGTCTCTGATGTGGCTCTTTTAAGAGAAAGGCAGCAAAGGCTCCTGGGTTTCCTAGTTAGAAGACTGAGTATGTTCTCTTAAGTTGATGTGTTGGCTCCTGGCAGGAAATTGAACAGCGACTACAGCAGCAGGCAGCCCTCTCCCCTACTACGGCTCCAGCTGTGTCCAGTGTCAGTAAGCAAGAGACCATCATGAGACACCATACGCTCCGGCAGGTGAGAATCTATTTTTCTTCTCATGTGACCCTCTGTTTTCCTATACTACCTATCCACCCCACCCCATCCCTTCTGTTTGCTACCTACATACCACACCTGTATTGCAGAGTGACAACTGAAGATCCCCAGCTGTGACCTTATTCTAATTCCTAGCCGAGATGGAAACAGCCTTGTATCTTCTCTTACCAGAGAGCTTGGGCATTCAGTTACCTATTTCCCTTAGTAGTATGCATTCTTGGCTTATGACTGCACCATTAATACTACAGCAGAATCAGGGGATGAGATATTTATCCTTACTCTTGAACTTACTCTCACTTGGGAAGGTAGTCTTTGTTTATAATCTTGACTCCCCCTTACCATCTCTTCATCTTACCATCTGATCATCTAGTCATCTGTTGTCTCCTCATGCCCACAGGCTCCACAGCCCCAGAGCACCCTCCAGCGTGGCATCCCCACATCTGCCCGCTCCATGCTTTCCAACTTTGCACAGGCACCCCAGCTGTCTGTGGCAGGAGGCCTCCTTGGCATGCCAGGTAAGGGAAAGAAAAAAGAGGTATTATTCTGGGATCTGCCCAGGGCTTTGTCTGGAGAGCACCCAATGCCATAGGGTCTAGATAGCCCATGTGAGAAAAATTTTCCCTTTTGTGCCTGCTGCTCCCTGTTAAAGCACAAATGCCCCTTTGATAATTAACTCTCTAGCTTATATGGGCAAGACAGTAGGGTATGTGAGAAGAAGCTGGATGGCTCAGTGATACTCCCACAATCCGAGGCCAAAAATCAAGATGGAACTGACCAACATCCATATCTTTGTAATGTAACTCTCGTCCTCTTTTTCCCCTGTGTCCCCACCCACCCAAATAAGGCTTTTCAGCCTCTTTTACTGCCAGTTTCCCAAGTAACCATCCCATTGTTTCTAGGACGTTGCTCATTATCCCAAGATAAAATTTTAAGAAGTTCTTTCTTCCTCCAGAGTCATTGCACCTAAAGGGGAAGGTTGTTACTAAGATAAAACTGGACAAGTCTAGACTGGCACCAGGCAAACTAGACCTTTCTGCCTGGGCAGGGGCAAGGAGGGGAGAGGTGGGAGAGGAGGTGCTCCTTCATCCTTTAACACCTGTCCCCCTTTTGTCTCCTGCGTTTAGGTGTTAATATTGCTTACTTGAACACTGGCATCGGGGGACACAAAGCACCCAGCCTGGCAGACCGACAGAGGGAGTACCTTTTAGACATGATCCCACCCCGGTCTATATCGCAGTCCATCAGTGGACAGAAATAACGCCTATTCCACCTGCCCCGCCCCAACCCTGAACCCCTCTGTTCCCTCCCTCTCTCCCTTTGCCCCCAACTTCCGTCGCATGCAGTGCCTGTACTGGTGCCTACCATACACGGAAAACAAAACAAAACAAAAAAAAAACAGAAGACAAAAAAAAGAAACCAACAAGAAAACACATACTCATGCCCCTCCCTGCCACCTCCCCTCTTTCCACACTGCAGCGATCTGTTCCTCTGCCGCTCTTTTCTTCTCTCTTCAGTTTTCTATGATAGTGAGAGGTGGATCTGCACCCCACTAGAGGTCAGAGTGAGGTCCCAGGGAGAATCTGTGCCCTCTGACATATGTTTCTGAAGCTTGTTTTTATGCTATAATTATTATTATTTTTAATGATGTCTCGTGTCCTCCCTTTTTGTTCAATGGACGGTTAAACCCTTTTCTTTCTCCTTTTTTTTTCTTTCTATTTTTAACAAAGATATCCACTTAAGTGATAGGAGCATTGCAGTGGTTTTCTTCATGGGGGTGGGGCTCCAGCCAAAAGGCATAAGGTGACTAAGGCTGGTTAGGGGGTGAATACGTTTAATCAGTGGAATTTAGTGGCAACACAAGAGGAAGAATGGCACCTCCAGGCTCTGAGGCATAGGATTTCTTAGGAAAGGGGAACATTGTAGCTGGGCTCTGGGAATGAGGGTCAGGTGCTTTGGAAGGGAGAAGCTTTAAAACACAGCACCCATAGTACTTAACCCATGGTGCTAGTGAGGGTGGGAAAGCATGGGCAAGATTTTGAACTAGGGAGGACTGTTATCAGGTCGTGGCCTCTGAACAATAAGAACCAGGAGCAAGGATAATCTTTGACTCCATTGGAAAGAAAGGAGTCTGTTTGAGGTTAGGTGGCCCAACTTCAGTCCACTAAAGTCATCCTAACCTGTCCCTTCTGCCTATAGCCCCAGCCACACTAAGGGTGAAAGGCATTATCTGACCCCCAAGCAGAATTTGACTGGGGGACCTGGAAGTTGGAATGGGAGTGAGTAAATTGGGAAAGAGGAGGAATAGTTGTGGAGGAAGGAAGAACAGAAGGGGTTTTCTCCATGAAGGTAAGGTTGGTTCACTTTGCAGTCTGGCTTCTCTCCCTTTTACCTCCTGAACATAGAGGGCAAAGGAAGGAAAGGTTTCCAACCCAGGTGGGGAGCCCCATCCTGACTATACCCTTGGCAAATTTGTTACTGCACCAAGCCAAATGACTCACTTCAAAACCAGCTTCAGAGGCTGCTTCTGAGATCTAAAGTTGGTTTTTAAAGTATTTTCAGAATTTTAATAGTTTTGTTTTTGTTTTTGTTTTGTTTGGGAATTGCTACTAATGTAGAAAATGAATTGAATTGTGCAATGTCATTCTGGGAATGGGGGGAGGAATTAGCACCCAATCTGCGCACCTTTTGGATTGAGGGGGCAGGGAAGGTGCCAGGCTTTCTTTGAGGTGTGCTGCCCTCAAACACACACCCTTCTAGCTCTAATAAACCACCAGAGGTCCCCTAAATATAGCATGCCCAAAAGAAAGGCATGGGGAAGGAGTGTGAGGTCCTGACCTGCTTCCAAAACCAGCCAGAATGCCCCCCTCCCCCTGAAAAAAAAAGGCACTTTTAAAAATTAATGAAAGAAAGAAAAGACTACACATTCCCCCAAAAGGTTTTTGGTGTTTGGAATAGGGATAAAGGAGCTGGGACCAGGCTTTGGTCCTCCACCCACTCCTGACACCCCTGTGCCATTTCGGGTGATTGTACTGGCCCCACGGGCCTTCCCCGGTTTTTTTTCTTCCTCCCTTCTCCCCAAAATCCATTGAGCACTTAATAGAGGGGCAAAGATACAGCCTGTGTCTGGACTCCCTGGTGGTGAAAGGATCTGGAAGCTAGAAGCTAGTAACCGGTAGTGATGGGGTTGTTGTTGCGAGTGTTGTCTGATGGGGTGTGTGGTACCCCCTGACTGTAAATGGGGTGGGGGTGGGGGGAATAGTGTTGGGTGGGCTCTGGGATTATTTTAAAATTCTATATATATATATAAATATATATTCTTACATCTTTTCTTTGCTCTCTGTGCTTTGAAAGCACTGGATGAATAGTTTGGTTTTGTTTTTCACTCTCTCTTCCACAAAATTGGAAGGTTTTTTTTTTAATGTTTTTCTTATGTCATCTTGCCATGTGGCATGTCTCTCTAGCCTCTCCTTCCCCTCTCCACCTTCTACCCTGACACAAACACATGATAAAGTGCCATTTCTGTCATGTATCCAACTCCCCCAGCCCAGAGGTACAAGGTGCCCAGGTGTGTCATTTGAGATTAAAAGTAAGGAAAAGAATGTGCAATACCATGTGGCTGGTGGCAATCCCAGCCTTGAGTTTAGCTCCCTACCGTAGGAACCAGCTACCACTATATTGGCCTTGGAAATGGGTATATAAGGTGATTTTGCATGAAGGCAGACCTTTAGTCTAGTACCTACTTCCAGGGAGAGGGAAATGATGTGATATGGTGGAGGGAGAAATGCAGCATGTCTTCCCTACTTTCCTTTTTTCTCTTCTTCAAGATCAAGCTACAGATGCTGCTTGTTTATCATAGAGATCTGTGATCCTCTGCTTATTGGCTGAGGTTTGGTTCTTGTTCACTGGTCCCTACTACCCTCCCCACCCCCATTCCTTCAGAGGTTAGTGTTGGGTGGATTGGCCAATATGGTCTTCTGAATCATGGTAAAGTGTTAGTCCTCCATCTCTCCTCTCCTCCTTCCCCCCCCAAATTCTCCCTTTCATCACTGATTTCTTTTGTCTCCACTTGCCCCTTCCAAGATCCCTTGTAATTTCCCATCACCACAGCTTCTAAGTCACAAGAATCTATCTAAGATCCCTGTGGTCCTGGACCGTGTGGACACTGAACTGAGGTCCTTCAGTTAGGGCATCCCTTATCATAAGGAAGGGAGAAAATACCTCTTATTCTGGTAGTCTTCCTTTAATTCTGAAGCCTGGAGCTCAATATGGAGGTAGTATGAGGGGTGCACCAGTCCTGCATGGCTTCTCCTTACACTAAACTCCAGAGGTGTTTGGGGGAAACTGGGTCCAGCAGGCTATTGGCAGCGCCTGCTCCCCAGAAGCTAGGGATGGATTTGGGGCAAAAGGCCTTTGATGGAAAGTAAGAAGTGTGCACTGAGGTCCCATTTTTATTTTATCATTGACCATAGCATCCAGTCCCCCACCTGTCCCTGGAATAAGTATTTTTTCCACATTTTGGATGTAATGTATGGTAGAAATTTCTCTATTCTCTTTTCCCTCTTCCCTGTTTTGCTCTTTTATTCTCTTTTCCTTTCTCTTTTCTTTTTTCTTCTTTCCCTTCTTTCCCCTCCTATTTTTCTCAACTTTTTTTTTTTTTTAAAGATGCAGATAAGTGTTTTCCTGCTTTGGTTTCCTTTCCTTTCCCTTTTTAAAGGAATTAGCTGTAGAACTGCTTTGTAAAGATGCTTCTTGATATTTTACTTTTGATCCCTCTTTCCCATCCTCCCCAATCCTAAAAGCATAACCCTTCTCCCCTCCCTTCTACCCTCTTCCCCAAGACCAGGTTCCCTCTCCCAATGAGATCTTCATTAGCTTATGATATTTGCTGCCGAGATGTTATAACAAGGACTCATTCGTGTATATAAGCTATTTCTTGATCCATTTAAAAAGGAAGAATTGTACATTGTGTAGAAAAAAAAAAACATGAAAAAAGTGGAAAAAAAAGCCCTAGCCATGGATATTGTGAAACTGTGTTACGTCATTTTGTACTGTGCCCGTTTGTGTATGATCCGTGCAAAAGGGTTTCTGGGGGTTAGGAGGCAGGGCTGTGGATGATGGGGCAAGGGGATAGGCCAGTTTGGCAGCTGGCTCCCCTAAATCCCCACCCCGCTTTGGAGATGCCCCCCCTCCCCCCCAACTGTGCCTTGCCTCCCCACCCTGGAGCAGCCCCTCCAGGTCACCAGCACTGCCTTGGCAGAGCCCTCCCCCCACCCCAGCTGCCCCACCTCCTTTCCCAGCATTAGGTTGACACTCTGGGGGAAGTGGGGGATGCTGGGGGACTGGGAGGTAGCTGAGGAACAGAACAGTTCCCAGGGGGCATTGAAACCAAGTATTATGAACTGTAATTGTATTTGCACTGTTTTTTTTTCCTCTGATTGCATCAGCATATATACAATATACCTACTATATAACAAACCACAGTGTCAGATTTTCTTACACCAGAGATCTCTCCCACACCCCACACCCTAAAAACATTATCCAGAGGAAAGAACCTGGGCTAATTATCTTATGAAGGTTGGTAGGGGAGGGGCTAAAATGTGGGCTAAGTAGGAAGAAACTGTTCTAATTGTCATCCTAAGAAGGTTTCATATAATGCAGTACCACATTCAGTTGAGCACTAACCCCCGTGATCAATATGAATTGAGATGGAGGCCTGAGCTGAGCTGGGAAGCTCATGGCTCTTGCTGGGGTGGGGATGGGTGAGGCAGAGTTAAAAGAGACTCCCATATAAAGGAAGGATAGAATGGTGAGAGGCAGTCAAGAGGTGAGTTCCAATCTTGATTTCTGCTGGGTAACTTTGGATAAAATTAAAACAAGTTTGGACTAGATTGAGTCCTAAAATATATCTTGTCCCTCCCCGAGTACCATCTACAGAAGGGGAGGGAGGAACAAGTTAGAATAAGCCTGGGAGGAAAAATCTGCTGGTGTCCAGTGGTCCCTTCAAGTTGGCATCTCTTTAGATTGACAGCAGAGAGTCTTGAGTGCCCAGTGAAACACAATTGCCCATGGTCTCCCTCTCTTCCCCGCCACCCAAGGCTATTGGGCCAGCCTTGGGGATGGGTGCAAATGCCCTTAGTTTCTAGTCGGGCTGGCTGTAGAAGTGTCTCACATATTCTACAGTCCCACTGTCTTTGGAGACCTCAGGACTTCGGATGCTGACTCCTTGTTAGAGGAGAATTAGGTACATCTTTTCTTCCTACTTTACCCCTTAGATGATCAAGGGTCCCCATCCCACCCCCAACATTGCAGACTGAGATACTCACCATCAGCTTCCTCCAAGTTCTTGTCTAGATGATGTCTGGAGGCAGTGGGTGGGACATATGGGGTGGGAGTTGAGGGTTTAGGAGATGCCCTTCTTTGTGTGGGGGCAGGCAGGAGGGGGGAGCAAGACCCTTTTGCACAACTCTAAGTTTCCTTATTTTGCCTCTTCATTTTTATTTTCTGCATTGTGTTTTGGGAAAGAAATAAAAAGACTAAGACCAACAGAAACTGGTTTTCAAAAGGACAAATACACCCCCATCTGTTTCAGATACTGCCAAGCGCTTCTGCAGTGACAGATTCAAATAATAAGCTAATTTTTGGAGAAAGGATTAAAAGAAAAAAAAAACTTTGTAATATTTATCACTTGCAAGCTATGTTTAATAAAGAAAGGAATGGTTTCTAAACTTTCCTGTGATTGATGGTTTGGGCATGGGGATTGGGATTGGGAGGGTGGGAAGGAGCAGTAGCCACCCTCTGTCCAAGAGCATGTGGGAATAAACTGGCTAATATAACTTAGCCTTCTGTCTCTATATTGTGCTCTGCTGTCAGGTAAGCAAAAGGTGAAATTCGTCCATTATACCTCACCACCTATGCCTGCCCTATTTACTCAACATCTCCCTCCTTCTTTGTCCTCATACTGCTCACATTATCCTCTTTGAGTAACAATATTGCTTTTTGTAAGAATACATTTTTAGAATAACAACACAGAAAGGAATAGCAGTAGTAAAACAAGTCTCAGTGACAGTTTAGTGGGAGAAGATATCCCAGTCTACAATTCCATAGCCCTTTAAATCAAAAGCCCTTGATATCTGGGTAAGGAGAGGATACTGTCTCCCTGAGTGAGTCTTTCCAGTTGCTCCCAAAACTAAAGAACCCATTGGCATACACAAGCAAAAGAGTTATAATATTACCTTATTCCCTACTCATTCTTTTAAAACAAACAAAAAAAAGCCCTGACACTTCGTCCTCCAAAATGTTCTTTTCTGCCTTTGAGCATAGACTCAACTCTTAATTGTGTTCTCCATTTTGGCTTTTATTTCCAACAAAGCTGTAGCATCAGGGTACTCCAGGGAATGGGTGACTTCTCCACAAGGTTTTGGGTGTTGGCTGTTGTTAACCACCGTTCCAGTCTGCCACCACACTATTCTTGGATCAAGCTGCTTCTGCTCCCTTGTTGGAGGGTATGTGGAGTGGCTTGGAGTTCCTGGGACTGGGTTTGTTGCAAGCTTTTCATTGGTACTAGCATCACTCAACAAAATCTCTACAAGCATGAGGTTTGGGTAGGGTACACTCCAAAGCCCTCAACATCCTCCCCAGGATTTTTTGGCATGATACTGGGAGGGTATAGAAAAGCGGGTGAAGGGCTGGGCTTAGGATGTGGAGGCTTTGGCTTTGGGGTCACAAGGATGTTTGGGGAACGGGAAGGGCTGCAAAGTCTCCTTCGTGCCTCAAAGATTGACACTGATGGGGCAGGAGGGGGAAAATGATTTTTTATCCTAGGAGGAGTGCCCACAGTCCCTGTGCTTATTCTACTGGGGGTTTATGCCTGCAAAAAACAAACCTGACTCAAACTAAATTCTCTGCTTTCAGAAATAGAAATCAAATGAGAGAGAAGGAAAATAAAGGCCTTCAGAGAAGGCCACTGCTTTGGATTGTGGGGCAGGATAATACCTTTACCCCTCCAAACTCCAAACCTCTATTGAGGGTTTAGAGTGTTTTTGGTTGCTCAGAGAAGGTGTGCCTGAACATACAAGAGCATGTGTGCACACACACGATGACTGGGCTCTGGAGGAAGTCAGAGGTAGGCAGTTGAGATTAAGTACCTTAGAACACACTGACTGAAGCATTTGAGCTTCTGAGATCTGAGAAGAGATGCAGATGCCTTTGTGTCCAGGTCAGAAAACTGACTCATCTGAACTTAGAGGAAAAGGAGGGGAGT